GCTCTTAACTTAAAATGAATTCAAAATAGCTAAATCTCATTGATATTCACACCATTCATTTTATTACATCACCATTGCCCGACAGTTGGGAGTTTTTTCTTCTGTTTGGATGGAACGTTGGTCAGATTAACCCTGAGCCTGAATCCTTCCAATAAGAAAACCGTATAGTTGTGGAAATCCAGACCTTGTTTCAGAAGTTCCAGCAACCATCATCTCTGATGGTGTTATTGAGGCGGTGCTCAAACCTGGTTTCTAACTTACTGCTGGACATGATGCCAAACTTATTCCGATCTGAAGGTTTTCAAGGTTCAGTAGTCATTAAAGAGAACTGCAGCCGTGTCCGTTTTTGAGAGACGCGGCTTTTATTTTAGCCTCATTCAGAGAATGCTGCTCTGGTGGTTGTCCCATTGTAAAGCTGTTTCATCGTGATAAAGGAGCTCAGGATCTGAGGTTGTATGGGACACTTCATTAGTTTGACTCTGCTTTTAAGTTTTCATTCATCATTTCAGTGAAACACATCCTATTCTGTTGTTGTTTAAACATGCCTAAGACCTTTAGTCATGTCCTGATGGATCCAGTGTTGTTATTTAAAGAGGGTCGTGTACACTTGTGGAGAAATTCAGGCAACCACTGATGTTCTTCCCGTGGAAAACCATTAAAGTAAGCTTCAGCTGCTGAAAAGGTCAAAAAACAACATGCAACTCTATACAAGCGATGAGTGGAAGTCAAGCATCAGCATGTAAGAAAAAATAAAACAAACATGTAAAAATTATGGACTAACATTTTTTAGAACTATGTGACTTAGACAACAATTAAATTACAAGTGCTCCATGCTCACCCACTGCGACTGGATGTGACCAGAGGGATACAACGAGTAATGGGCTCGACACACGGGAGGCGACAAACGACCGCGATCAGTGAAATTTGTCGCTGTTGCTTTTATTACCTGACACACGGGAGGCGATCCGCGGCAGCGGCCAGCGGCAAAGCCGTCTACGCGTTCTGTTCCATGGAGAAATCGAAACTTCCGTTGTTTTGCTTGGCTGTGTCAGGTTGGAGGGAATTAAGGTTATTTAAGCGGTTCAGAGGTAATAAAGCGGTAGATATGATGTTTCACAAGGTGCTGCTAGAGTTATGTGAAATCTTACTTCTGATTTTACTATAAAACATAATAATAATCAACTTCTCCTCCATGTTTGCTCGGAGGTGTACGGAGCATCCTGTCCGCTCATTGGTCAGTGAATGAAACCTCCGTTGATTGGTCCTCGTCCGAGCGACAGCGATGAAAAGTTGAAAATGTTTCAACTTTCTGGGATCGCGTCGCTGGGTCGCCTGTGCACGACACGTGCACGCGCGCAAAATTTCACATGCACGTTTTTCGCGTTTTGCTTGGTAGGAGGGAGACCCGCGATTATCGCTTTGTCACGCATGTCTCATTGAAAATGAATGGAGGAGAGGCGATGTCGTCTCCCGTGTGTCGAGCCCATAAAGGGTTAGAGGAAATAAAGTTGGCAACCAGGGGCAGGCTGGAGGAAGTCAAACGTATCTGGTTGCTACTGGAGGCCACTTTATTGCTTTGTGACACTTTTTTACCCTGCAGTTTCTAAACTGGATACAAGAGCTTTTGTGTAAAAAGGCCACTGCTAAACTACTCTTATTTATCCACAAAATCATTTCATTTATTTAATTATTGGCACACCATTTGTGGGAAATGCTTCAAAACCGACTACAGGGCATGCTATTAACGGAGAGCTCTCCGTTAATAGCATGCCCTGTAGTCGGTGCTACATGCTAACTTGGCATAGGAAGGTGATGTGGAGCACCCCCTAGTGGGTAGCTGCATTACTGGTTTGAGGTCCCACCACTCTCATGTAAATAATTAGAGTAAAAAATTACAAATAATCATTTTTGGCAGGGGAGAGGGAAGCCTTGGCCTGCCTGCTTAGACTACTGCCCCCGTGACCCGACCCTGGATGAGTGGCCGAAAATGGATAGATGGAATAAAATGTTTCACTTGACCCCACTCATGTACACGAAATAATAAATAAATAAAAATAATAAATTATTGTTATGGTTACCAGTCTGGCCAGTGAAGAGCAGGAGCCAGGATCATCCAGCTCTAGTGAATGAGCCTGACACCCCCCCCCCCCACCCCCCACCCCCCCCCCTCTCCCGGGCTGCTGAGGAGCACAGCTGAGCTGAGTCTTCCTGATGAGCAAACACCTGCATAAAAGGGCGGTGCCTTCAGCAGGCTGGGAGGCAGCCGTGCAGGGGTTCTGCTGTCCTCCTGGGTTTTGTTTGGTTTTAACCCCTTTTTGGTTGCATTCGTTTGGATTCGTTGGAGTTTTAGGCCCTGTCCACACGTAGCCGGGGATCTGCCTAAACGTAGATATTTTTCTACGTTTTGGCGTGTCATCCACACGAAAACGGATCTTTCTAAAAACTCCGGCCAAAGTGAAGATCTGCGTTTTCTCCGTTTTGGGTGTCTGCGTGTGGACGGACAAAACCGGAGTTTTAAGGTCCGCAACGTCACTTTCCGCGACAGAAAAATGCTGACATCACGTGTGCGACCTGTGTTTACACTAGCCGGCATCATGGATGCCCTCAGAGCTGCGCTCGCTTCATCAGTTGTCCAAGCGC